GCAAACGGTCGCGAAAGTCGGGACACACTGTCTCTCAAATGGTCGAAGAATACAGACGTAAACTCTTGAAGAGAGAGAAAGAGGACAACTCCGACGACTTGGAAGCCGATCGTCGAAGTGGTGGACAATCGCCGCGAAGTCGAAGACGTTCGCGATCTCGAAGCAGATCTCGTTCGCCACGAAAGAGCAGTAGAGATCACGACAGAGCACGCCATCGATCGCGAAGCCCTACACGTAAAAGGAGGTCTCCGTCACCGCATAAGCGGCGCAAATAAATTGTTAATTATTTACTAAAAAACAATGTTTTTATTTATTTTGTAATTTAAAATCAAATTCAATCAAATGTATAGTAATTGTACACTAAAAATAAATTCATTCATTCAATTAAATTTACGCAATCATTCATTCGCTTAAAAGTTATGACAGTATTTCTCGGGATATAAGCAATAAGTTTTCCCACATATTATTTCCCTATACCCGAGAAATACTGTATTAGTCTAAAAATAGAAATATATGTTACAAAATATTAACATAATGTAAACATTATAAAAATAGAGTATTTAGAGTATTGATAATTTTTTTTTAAAAACTATAATAAATGTCAGTAAAACAATCGAGAGTATTCTTGTAAATAGAATTTATTATAGAATTTTAAAATATAAATTTTAAAAAAACTAAAAAGCTAAATTAAATTTAATCGACTGAATTAATGGCAACAGATTTGAAAGAGATTTATTGGCAAATGTGTCCACAAAAAGGGCAAACATAACGGCAACTAAATTATTGAGTTTTTTGAGCTTTAATTGACGTTTGAGTGGTTGTTGTCTTAGTATATGAGCTCCGGTAGAAACCGGCAAACAATAGGTATAGGAAGACGGCGTTACCAAAATTGCAGGCCATATAACCGATGGGCAGATCTGTTTGCTTATAATAGACCACAACGAACCAACTCATCACACATACGAATTGCATTAACTGTATTTGAGTGATGTATCGCTTCCACCACAAGTATTTCTGCATTTGTGGACCCAATGCGGCCAAACCGTAGTACGAGTACATAATCACGTGTATAAACGTGTTTATTATGGGAATTATGCAAATCGTTGGCATATCTATCACCAAAAAAATATGTGATTTTTGAAATCAAATGAAAATTTTGCTTTAAATAGTAATTAAATTTCATAGTTAAGCGATAAGTGGATACATACATGGATTGTATTTCATGAATAGCCAACCGGCGAACGGAAGCGATATGTGATGCCATACGTGAAGGAATGAGATGTGAGAGTTCTTCTTACGGAAGGCCATGAAGAAGGTGTCCACCATATCAACCAATTTGGATAAATAGTAATAATAAGCCGTGTCTATAAACTCCATGGCTTTTTCAGACGTGTCTCCTTTCGTATTCTTAAAGTTCCACATTTCGAGACCGAAACGACTTATTTGTAAAGTTTTCACAAAGAAGTATCCGTTTATCATAACCTGTAGTTTAGATGCGATAATCCGTTAACTCCATAGGAATAATACACAAACTTTTAAGTTTTACAAACCATTAATACATCGTAACCAATGATCGAACTCTTGAGGTTAAATGGTTTGCGATTTCGCATAAACGCCGGAATTATAACCACCACTAAAAGCATGTACACAATCATCAACAGTGCCATCGATAGGGCCGACGGGTGCACTAAAAAGTAGTTTCTGGTCCGCGGATCGGACGGTA